TATAACGTGTTTTTGTTTGGCGTCTGGCTGACCTGAGGGCAATCTCTTCTTGCAGATGCATTTCTTTGTGCTGCTATTATCTATTTACCCAACAATTTAGGGCATTTGAGTGGGGCTTCCTTGCTTGTCCTCAAAGACTCTCTTCTCACAAGGTGTTTTCCTCTCTGTTTGGCCACCACAGGTAGAACCACTCAGCTGCATCTTCCAGGAGACTGTGGGCCAAACCTTATTGCAGGGCCAAACCTGGGTCAAAGCTCTCCTTACTGATTTTGTAGCCATATCACTGCTGATTAATCATTGCTCTGTGATTAATCATTTGTCAGCTCCTGTGGCACTAACATCGTGGCACGTTCACACAAACACGTGCACTGCAGCCACCTCTTCCCTTCCGTGTGAAAGATCTGACACTTCCGAAACTTTGAGTGTCTGCTGTGACTTTCCTGCATGCTTTAATTTTTTTTGAGCTGGAATTTTTCACTCGTAAATTTTTTTCATTTATTTTCTACTCGTTTGAATTTTTTGATTTCAACAGGCTGTCATCTGTGTCTAAATTATCTTTTTTTTTTAACACTTTAGATGCACTCAAAAAGAATGGGGTTTATTTCTGAGCAAAATATTTGTGAGAGTTCAAGCGTATCCCAAACTCATCTGTCTTCACCAGCCCTCTTGTGAAATTTAATGTGTCATTTCAGTCTGAGGGACACAACTCCAAAGATTTAAATGACCCTTGTATGTCGGTCACATGTATACAGTCCACTACTGTATACATAAAGCATTGCACTGTTTTTTTTCAAGAAATCTGAGAGAAAACAGCTTCATTTTAGGGAAACTATGGAGCTGGAGCTGTGAGCTGGTTCTGCCTGTCGATGTTAATCCCAGTGGGGTTCACAAGAAGGGAGAGAGTGGCTTTATGGAGCTGTTCATCTTATATATATTTGATCTTGTTCAAGAGTTTGGTCATCAAAGTGGCTGTCTTAAAGCAGTATCGTGGGTGTGCACTTAGCAGCAGCATCGTGCCACTACTTATTTCTTCTGGGGAAGTGGGAGCAGAGAAGGAAGAGAGGAATTGTAGTTCCCATGGAGTAGTCAGTGCAGTTACTGCAGCGAGGAGATGGAAGAGCTGTGGTGCTTCAGCTGTCCTTCATAGGATCTCAGGTATCTTCAGCTGCTGTATTTTTAGAGTTGTTGTGCAAAGATTAACAAAGGACTGAGAATCCTTTTCACACACTGACATTTTCTCAAATATGGAAATATTCCACCTCTTCATATGATGGATTTGGGCTGTTATCTTAGTTGTATCAGCAGGGCTGTGCATAGACAGGTGCCTCTCTGCCCTGACCTTTCTTTGTTCTCCAGATGTTTGACTGTCCGATACAGTGAGTGCACTCTGCTAGTAGTTGTGTCCTGGTCTTGGTTTTGCTCCATTTAATGACAGTTAATTAGGAAGCCTGTCTCCAGCTGGATCCAGTGCATATGTAGTAGAGAGAGAAGCAGCTGTGTGTTGAGATCCAGTGGCTTTATCTTCAGATTGGAGCCAGAGGTTCCTGGGTTCAGCGGTGGTATGTGAGGCTTTGGATTGACCACTGTGGTCTTTGCCTGGTGAGGAGGGACTGAATGCTCACTACTCCTGGTGAAGCTGTTGGAATGGGGCCTTTGGAATGTGTCTGTGCTTTGATCGCTTGCTGTCTTAGTGGAAGAACAACTCTTGCTTCTCTGCAAACTCCCTCTCAAATGTTCCCGGCATAGCTGCACCCCTGAAAGAGTGGAGGAAGAGAAGCTGAGGCTGCCATGCTTGGGACTTCCTTGCAGTCCAGCTGCCTTGTACCTCTGAAATTTGTGGGAAACCAGGAGTATTTGGGGCAAGAAATCCTTGGCCAGCCCTAATCCTGACCCAGAGAAATGGATGGTGTTGGCTCAACTTATGCTTCCTGCAGTTAGTCCTTGCTCATGGAACGTGGAGCCCTGGAGCGTACGGTGTTACGTTGTCATGGGTTAGGCCGCTCCAGCAACCGAACCCCACACAGCCGGTCACTCACCCTCCCCTGCCCTAGGAATGAGGGAGAGAATTAAAGGAGAAACGGGAAACCCGTGGGTTGAGATAAGAACAATTTAATACAGATAAGTAATACACAGTGTAGATGCTCACCACCCCCTCGTATCTGCAGCCCGTCTCATCCTGAAGCTGCAATCCCGGATGAACGTGAGGCCCCGAAATAGAGAGGGGCTGAGAGAGAGAGAGAGTACTCTGAGAGTGGGAGTACTGGGAGAGAGAGAAAAGGAAAGAAAAACAATAGAGCAACAGCGCAGCAAGCGCAAAAGAGCAAAAGCGGCGAAAGAGCCAAAGCGCAAAAGCCCCTCTTCCTGGCTGACCCTCACCTTTATACTGGGCATGACGCTGCATGATATGGAATACTGATTGGCCAGTTTGGCCTCAATCCTAAGTTCCACCACAAATCACAAGGGAAATCGTGGGCCCCCTTGTCTCGGCTGTGCTCCCCCCTTATCCCGCCATGCTTCTGCACTCCGGCACACTGAAAAGCCCTTGGACAACCACAAAACAAACATCAGCTTGCTATCAGCATTCTTCTCAGAGCGAGCCTCTGAGTAAAACCAAACCACGGAGCTCTTCTAGCTGCTAAAAAGAAGAGCTGACTCTGTCCCAGCTAAAACCAGGACATACCTGCTTGCCTGGAGCTGTGAGCCAAGGGAGTGGAGAGCGTGCCCAAGTTTGGGCAGCAAGGGATATGGCGCTGCGTAGCTGAGGGCGACGAGGGCCTGGTGCTCCTTGCAGGAATGGGGGGGCAGGATTTTAGGGGCGTTTAAGTGGACTTGTGATTTGCTGTCAAGCCAATGGACAATCCTAGTACCATTCTTGTGTGATCTTCTGGCCCTCAAGGTGTCATCTAGCCTCTGCACTAGCTGCTGTTTTCCAAAATCATGGGATTATCTGGGGCAGCCTTCTTTTAGGACAGGGTTTTGAGTTATGCTTCTTGCAAGTGTGGTAAGGGCATGCTAAGGAGTGACATGGGACAAACAGTTGGGAAATAGTTGCTAAATGTTCTGGTATTCCAGTGGCCTACAAAGTTGTTCACAGCTTTCACTGCCTGAGCGCTGAGACTCTAGTAACTAAGAATGGGTGGTGTGGGTGGCCTGGAGAGGCTCTTGCTTGTACATGCTAGAATAGAAAAGATTAGCAAGGGAGAAGAGGGTGAAAGGTTTTGACCCCAAGACAGCACAAGGTGGCAGGTTGGAGTCTGGAGGATTGGGAGAGGGCAGGTGGAGGCACAAATAGGAAGCATTAGCTTTGTCTGAGAAGATTAATGTGCTGGCAACAGCGGACACCAGAGAGCAGGTAATAAGGGACACAGCCCTTATGCTCCGTGACCCTGGAGGAAAGCGCAGTGTATACTGGGGTGGAGAGCTGGAAGCATCCTGCCCAGTGCCTGACAGCCCTCTGTGAATTTCCAGCCTAACAAATGAAGCTTCTTAAAGCAAGGAGTTTGCTTTTGCTGCGTGGAGCTGGGTGGATCAGAGTTCAAAATGGTCACTTACTATGGAAAGTTTTGTATTTGTCTAAAACCTTTTAGTTTTTCTTGTGAGCAGGAGGAAAAAAAGAACTGTTAGAGGCCTTGGGTGTGGGGAAAGCTCTCCAAGAAACGCGGCGAAGCAAGCAGAACGTTACCCAGTGACTTGGAGAGGAGGATTTAAAGACCTGTGCACTTTGTTTATCAGCAGAACTGCAGCTGCTAGTCTGCTTGCGCTTTCCTCCTGATACTGGAGCAACATGATAATCTGAAATAACTTCTATTCCGTTCCGAGGTCTAGGAGCTGGAGATAGGGAATGTGTCCTTAAGTGCCTGAGCTATTTTAAGAGCAAGTATTCTTCACAGCACCAGGGTGCTTGAACGCATGGAGGGGCAACCAGCCTTCGAACTGCTGCGGTGACGGAGAACGCGGCCACCCCTGAGCACGCCCACGGTGCTGTGCGTGTGCTCATAACTGAGCTGATCTCAGTCACTGTCACATTGATGGTGTCTTTTCTGGCAGATCATTCTCTCGCAAGTATTGCTATTTTTGTGTCTTCCAGAAGACAGGAAAAGGGCAGCAGTTCATCAAGGGAAGGCTCCTCTGTGGAATGATAGCAAAAAAATTCTTAATGGTGTAACTCTGAAGAGAGACCATGAGTCTCCTGCCACAGCTGTAGCTGAATCCCAGACTTCTTGTGCAGCTTGTGCCAGTGTAGCTTCAATTACATATTCCCAATAGCATCCCAACATGCAAAGCATTTTTCAGAAATCTGAGGAAAACTTTTGATCCCTCAAAGGTCTTGACTATAATGAGATGGAGCAGT